GTCATTTACTATGCACTGGTAATGTTCAAAACAGAAATATATGCATTCTTGCTTGACAGAAACGGATTTATACTAGTCTTAAATGATTTGTGAAGAATAGAATTTGTTTAGTAAAGTAGATTGTATATTGCATAACATACTTCCATTCCATATAGCAAAATTAAATTGGTACTCTCTTCTCAGAATGGTTTGGGGTGCATTTTAAATAATATATAAAAATTATAAAAGCAAGAAATTATTTACAAATCATAACACATGGTTTGTATAACCTTGGAAAGTCCTTAAATTAAAATAGGAAGCCTTAAAATGTCTCTTGATTTGTTGAACTTGTTGCCAAAATCTCATTGAATTTATTACCAGAGGGACTATGTAAAGTTTAAACAAAATATATCGCTTTTTAAATTCAGAATACTTGTTATTGATGCATTTTCCAAAACTTGTTATTGATGTATCTCCAAAAAATAATAAATATGTAAATGGGACAAAATTGTGTTTATCAATAAAACAAAATAACACCAGTGATTACAAGTTAGTGTTGCATCCCATAGTGTAAAGATGCATTTGAGTGGGTTTTTTTACTTTTCAATTTTTTTATGAAGTCATAAACCATCCAATATATGAAGAATGTTTAAGGGCTTCATGAACTGTTTACAAATTACAAGTTATTTTCTACCTTTTAAATTGTAATAATTTTGACATAATTCTGTATGCAGTGTACATGACTATATTAAATGTACCTATATAAAGATTTCCATATTTGTACAGAATTTTGATAAAAGATTGAATTTTAAGTGTTTGTAACTGTGTTGTTTTTCAGTTGTGAATATTGCAGAAATGGCATGCATGGAGATCATTCAAATTCAGGTCGAACCAGAAATTCCAGTTGGCCAATATTTTATAATACCTGACCAATTATCTATCAGTGGGTTTTTTGATGTAATGTCTAAGCATTTATCAATTAGAATTTCTTGTAAAATCTAAGATTATAAAGTTGATCATGTCCTAACTGTAATATAAAGATTTTAATCTATGATTATAAAGTTGATCATACCCTAACTGTAATATAAAAATTTTAATCTATGATTATAAGTTGATTATGTCCTAACTGTAATATACAGATTTTAATCGGTGATTATAAAGTTGATCATACCCTAACTGTAATATAAAAATTTTAATCTATGATTATAAGTTGATTATGTCCTAACTGTAATATAAAGATTTTAATCTGTGATAACAAAGTTGATTATGTCCTAACTGTAGTATAAAGACATTAAGGCCCCCATTTTGGAGGTTAGGTCATCATCATTAGCTCATCTATCATCTGTCCACCCTTGCTGTTTACATCTTTCAAAATTTGCCTGGCACAATTTGACCAAATTTGACTGAAGTATAAAGTTATTTGATATTTGATCATATGATGCCAATGAATAGTCTAAATATGGAGATTTTGCTAAAAATAGAACAAATTTTACTTTTCTAACACCAGTCAACAGAAGTTGACATCATCCTGGCATGAAAAGCTTCTTTACATCTGTACAAAAGATACCAGCTGCCTTCATAAGGTCACCATACAAACAATAGACAGTCTGTACAAATGATACCAGCTGCCCTCATAAGTTCACCACACTAACAATAGAGTCTGTACAAATGATACCAGCTGCCCTAATAGGGCCACCATACCAACAATAGACAGTGTACAAATGATACCAGCTGCCTTCATACAGTCACCATACTAACAGTAGACTGTCTGTTCAAATAATACCAGCTGCCTTCATAAGGTCACCATATTAACAATAGACAGTCTGTACAAATGATACCAGCTGCCTTCATAAGTTCACCACACTAACAATAGAGTCTGTACAAATGATACCAGCTGCCCTAATAGGGCCACCATACTAACAATAGACAGTGTACAAATGATACCAGCTGCCTTCATAAGGTCACCATACTAACAGTAGACAGACTGTTCAAATGATACCAGCTGCCTTCATAAGGTCACCATACTAACAATAGACAGTCTGTACAAATGATACCAGCTGCCTTCATAAGTTCACCACACTAACAATAGAGTCTGTACAAATGATACCAGCTGCCTTAATAGGGCCACCATACTAACAATAGACAGTGTACAAATGATACCAGCTGCCTTCATAAGGTCACCATACTAACAATAGACAGTCTGTTCAAATGATACCAGCTACCATCATATAGTCACCATACTAACAATAGACAGTCTGAACAAATGATACCAGCTGCCTTCATAAGGTCACCATACTAACAATAGACAGTGTACAAATGATACCAGCTGCCTTCATAAGGTCACCATACTAACAATAGACAGACTGTACAAATGATACCAGCTGCCTTCATAAGGTCACCATACTAACAATAGACAGACTGTTCAAATGATACCAGCTACCATCATATAGTCACCATACTAACAATAGACAGTCTGAACAAATGATACCAGCTGCCTTCATAAGGTCACCATACTAACAATAGACAGTCTGTACAAATGATACCAGCTACCATCATAAGGTCACCATACTAACAATAGACAGACTGTTCAAATGATACCAGCTGCCCTCATATAACCATCAGAAACAATTGACAAATCTTTATACTATTTCTTTTTAAAAGCCACAAAACACAATATGAAAGAAAGCATCCTGATGTGTAGCTCTTTCGGATTTATCAGATGATGCTGATCTGCTATCAAGTATTGCTGCAATTACTAAAAACAAAAACTGTTAAAATCATCAAACATTACTCAATAAAATTTGACCAGATTTGAGAGAAATCATCCTGGCCTGAAGCACTTTTAAAAAAATGTATGTTCATCTGCCATCAAATATGGCTGCCAATACTAAAAATAGAAACCTTTATACAGCTGTTAAATCATTCAACAGAATTTGACCAGATTTGATGGATAGCTTCCTGGCATTAAGTTCTGTCTGTGATGCTGATCCACTGTTAAATGTAACTGCCATTGCCTTTAAACAACATTTCAGGAACTGACAAGAAAGAAGGCATTCTGACATGTAGCTTTATTCAGAAATGTTCAAAAAATTAAATTGGCCACATAAATACCAATCCATCATTATATGTCAGTCTTTACTAAAAATAGAGAAGCCTTAAAGTCAAATAACGAAATGTGACCCAACTGAAGGAATTCATGAAACTGTTTCATCGTTTTTAAATTATTCCAGTGCAGCAGCAAAAAATGTAGAACTCTCATTTCAACAATATATATATATATATATATATATATATATATATATATATATATATATATATATATATATATATATATATATATATATATATATATATATAATGCACACACTTTGTTTTGTGTAAACCCCATGTTGCTTTGAATATCATTCTGGGCAAGTAACAAATTATTTTCAACCTGGCTGCCATTATCATTAATCTAGAGCTTTGATTTGCACCATTTTCGTTGAAGATCAAGTAGACATTATCAACCACCCTACTAGTTACCTATATGGCAACATTTTCATTTTGGAACTGGTCTTTTTGTTAAAACTGTACATCCATTTAAAGGAATAGTGTTAACAAGATTTTCAAGATGGCCAACATGAGGATCTTACCATATGACGTCCAAAGTTCACTATTTTCATTTTGGACCAACTTGATATATTAGGAAGTCTTTAATCAAAACCGTTTGTCAATAATGTCACCCACTAAGGAGGAGTGCTTTAACAAAACATTCAATATGGCCACCATGGTTGACATGTGTTACTTGTAGGCTCGTACAGAAATAACAAGAGAAAAGAGTAAAGTCAACAAGCTTTGTCAGTTTTAACATAATGATTTTTTTCCTAGAAAACAATGTAAAAATAGAAAATAGGACTTATGGTTTGTAAAAAATGATCCAAAAAATTAATCCTAGGATTGAAAAATATAAGTACTATCACTAAACAATTCTAATTGAATCCAGGTTCGAATCTTGATGAATTTCCAGTATTGAAGGCAGTGACATCAGATGTTAGTAAGTACCAATGACTTACAAAAATGGTACTAACAGCTTCATCACTTGGCGCTCAGCTTTAAGAGGTTAGAGTTAGGACTGGTGTTAGGATAATGTGACTGAGTGGGACATCATGCTAAATGTCTGCAGCATGATGCCCCAATGCAGACATCATTGCGATATGAATGAAAAATTGTTAAAGCTACATTAAAAATCAAACTCATACACACACTCACACCACTGTCAACATTTCCTCATTGAATTTTGTGAATGAAGAATAATATTCATGCTTTAAAATTCTAAATAATTTCCACCGAATGTCTTTGTCCAAGACTGTGATGAAGAAGCACTTATATTCCAGATAATATAAATTATTCTTAAATAACAAGTAACTCAAAATACGACAACAGAAAATACTTATGAGCTCCTGAAAGTATTTTTTTACGAATAAACTAATTTAATACTAATTTGCTCTTTTAAGTCTGATTTTAGATCACATGATATTTTATGTGACAAACTATAGAGATTTCCAACTTGAACATGACAATAAAAAATGTCATTTGTCACATAGCTTAGAATAGTCCTATCTAAAACATCAGACTCATACTAGAAATCAAAACTAAAATAAACTGTTTGCACATGGATAACACATGAGCCAAAAGATGACCCAGGAAGCGGCCAATCATTTCCACTTAGTGTTTATGAGTTTGTGAACCAAGGTTGGCTAAAAATAATGCTGATGTAATTTCTTTTCCATACTATACAAATATGTAGTTGATTAGATTTTTAGGCCATCATTTATCTATTTATCTATATTTCTTAACTTTAAAGACAAAAACTTTGTTAGTATAATAAAGCAAAACCACATGAGGAAGACATCTGATATGGATCCTGGAGACAGCCGTTTGAAAAGATTGTGGTGGATTTTAGTGACAATCATTATTACTACTAGTTTTAGGCTAAAATGCCTGAGTATGCTTCAGTCCAAATAAGTACGTATATGTATCAAGTGGTGGCCTAGTGGTAACAGCATCTGTCTTGGATGCAGGAAATTGCAGGTTCAAACCCTGGCTGAGACATACCAAAGACCAAAATGGTATTGAAACTGCCTTGCTTGGCACTCAGTATTAAAAGGTAAGTGTTAGGACTGGTCAGCCTGGTGTCAGGATAATGTGACTGGATTGGACATGATGCTACATGTCTGTATAATCATGCCCCAGTGCTAGACATCACTATATACTGTCACACTGTGGACATTGTAGCGATATGACTGAAAATTTTATAAAGCTATATTAAGTCCAAATCACACATACACACAAACACACCAGGGCACAAAAGTGCACTGTACTACAGTTATTTAAACCAGAACACATTTCATTTGTTTTTTTAGGGGGGGGGTAATGCCATTTTTCAGAACATGGTAGGCTTTACATGGCAGCCAGTATATTTTTTGGAGTGTTAAGTGTAGGCTTGTACAAATGTAACAAAAGAAAAGAGTGAAGCCAACAAGCTTTATAAAGTTTAATAAAATAATTTATTTCCCTAGAAAATAATAAAAAAAATAGAAAACAGGACTTGTGGTTTGTGAAAATATTCCACAACTTAATTCTAAGATTGAAAAATATAAGTCCTATCACTAAACAGCTCTAATTGAATCCAGGTTCGAATCTCGATGAAATTCTGATATGGAGGAGATGACATCAGATAACGTTGTTGTACTGGTGATTGAATCACAGTGTGTAATGTTTTTGTTTATAACTCTAGAATAAATTTTCACTGAATTTCTTTGTCCCACAACTTTTTTTAAAAAATGTACACTTGTTAAGTCTTCTATAGAATAAATTATTAAATTTTTAAAAAAATGATGAACTTCAAAACAATCTGGCTTCAACAATAAAAACCTCTTGAGCCCTCAAGGTTTAACATAACTGAATAAATTTAATACAAATTGGCTGTTGTAAGCCTCGATTTTAGCTAACACGCGAGTCATAAATGACCTTGGCAATAGCCAATCGTCTTCACTCGAAGTTTACGAAATCTATAAACTGAAAATAGTGCTGAAGTAATTTATAATCTAATCAGGTCAAGCCAGTTATCCAAAAAGATATTCAAATCCAATGAAAAATTATCATTAGAGTAAAATGTAATGAAACAAATATTAAGAAAATGAATTGAAAACTAGCACATAAGTGATTAAATTACATACAGGTAACAGAAGGAGGAACTCGTTGGAGGAGAAATCCAAGAGAGAACCATTGACCCACAGGAAGCTACTTGCAAGCATCCTCACATACATTGGTGAAGCAAAAACTGTAGAGCACCATCTTAAATATAAAAAAAGAACCAGAGATTAGGTTAATGCTATAGACTGCTTGGCTGCCTGGGAACCCTGACCAATACAATCCAGGTACAAAGAGTTAATTTAGATTTTGTGTCTGTAAATCATGCAAGTCAAAAGCTCTAAAAACAATTTTCTTTGTAGAAAAAAAAATGGAAAACTTTATAAAATGACCTGAAAATCTTTACTGGATATATATATATATATATATATATATATATATATATATATATATATATATATATATATATATATATATATATATATATATATATATATATACACACACATATATATATATATATACACACATATATATATATATATATATATATATATATATATATATATATATATATATATATATATATATATATATATATACACATATATATATATATATATATATATATATATATATATATATATATATATATATACACACATATATATATATATATATATATATATATATATAGATAAACAAAGTGACATAAATCTGCTTCAATCTAAAAGCTAATACTTGACAGTCAATTTAAGATAACCCATTTCTGACATGTCATTGAAAATACTAGTTGTTTGGTTCCAGTCTTGTATGTTGTTTTAAACGAAGGTTGTTGAAATTATGTGCCTAGTGAATAAGGGTGAATATCACTAATTTTGCATATCATTGGCTGACATGAAATAGACATTTCTGATACCAAATTGTTATAAGCATGATTGGGTTTTTAACTGTTTACTCTCTCCTCAAATGCCGGCATTCCCCCATTTTTTTGTTTATACCATCTAATTGATTAGAGGGCAAGGTTACTTATCTTCAAGTTGTGTTCTATGCCAGATTGTTTTTATTGTTTTAAATTTTTGTGCTGATTCAGGCATACCATGAAAATCAGGATTAATTAAAATTACATGGCTGAAAAGAACAATGTTTTTCAAGTTATCTGTGATTGACCTTGTATATATGGAGAGCTTTAAAATGGCATTTACTTGTTTTAGTCTACTGTTAATCCAACAATACATTTTCTTTATTAAAACCTAAATATTTAACACTTTTGAAAAACAAATTTGTGAATATTACAGATAGTTTTAGATTCTCTGATCTTTCATTTCCTTCTCCCTTGAAGCCAGGTAAGATGCAATCTGTCTCACCGAAATGTAATGATGATTTGTTTTAACTGAGCCAAAGACTGCATGATTCTGTTTCTTTCCCAAGTTGTTTTGAAATATAATCTGGATACAGATCTAAGATCATGATATCTCTACCAGCAGCATATAAAACTTTGACAATCAGAACTTACAATAGGTACCATATCATTCCCATAAAAATAAGAGGTTGTAGAACATTTCCCTGAGGTACACCACATTATATTGTCAAATATCTGGATTCACTGACAACATGCTGTATTGCTTGGACATTATTCAAACATTCAATTCCTTTTCCTAGCAATTGTTTAAACAAAATATAATTCACTGCTTTGATAGCTTCTTGAATAACTATCTTGATCATTTCAATGTAGAATCCCAGGATGTATGAACCTTAATATGGTGAAAAAGATGCATTAAATGGAGTACTTTCCTCAAACTCAGCTAGTTAAAAAGAATAGATTAAGATAAAATGTTAAGCAAGCTGTTCATTCTAGAATCTTGGTAACAATAACCATGTTTATTAACATGCTTGAAATGCTTATATCAGTCCTACTGTTCATGCCCTTTTCAATTCATCAGGCATAATGCAATTTGATATTAGCAGTACAAGTAATACAAATTGTTAGAACACTAGCACTGTTACACTACTGTATATACTAATCTTGATGGGATATTATCAAAGACAGTACAAACCTTACAGGGATATTGTCAAAGCATGTACAAATATTGCTGGAGTATTCCCAAGGTATGTACAAACTTTGCTGGGATAGTTTGAGGCCTTATCAAACTTTGGTGAAATACTGTCAAAGCATGTACAAACTTTGCTGGAATAATGTCAAATCATTACAAAATTTTATGGAATACTGTCAAGGTATGTACAAACCTTGCTTGAATATTGTCAAGGCATATTTAAAAAAAAACGTGGGGTATTGTGAAAACCTAAATAAATTTTGATGGAATATTGTCAAGGCATGTCCAAATCTTTCTGGGGCATTGTCAAAGCCTGTATAAATTTTGATGGAATACTGTCAAGGTATGTGCAAACTTTGGTGGAATATTGTCAAGGCATGTACAAACCTTGCTTGAATATCGTCAAGGCATGTTAAAAAAAAAAAACTTTGCTGGGATATTGTCAAAACCTGAATAAATTTTGATGGAATATTGTCAAGGCATGAACAAAACTTTCTGGTATATTGTTAAAGCCTGTATAAATTTTCATGGAATATTTTCAAGCCTTTTACTTTTACACAGATTTAGATATCACATTTCTTTGTAGAAAATAATCCTCATTAACGATGCTCCAACAGACATCGTACAGAAACAGCGGATTGTGTCTGATCTATTTTTCTTGGTTTTAAGACCAATCCTGTATAAATTTTATGAAGAAATGTCACTGATTTATTATTGCATAGGTGAAATATTGTGAAAATTTCAGCTTAAATAAAAAGCATAGCTCTCAACGGTGCATCTTTCGCCTGGCACCAGAGGGCTATTCTCCCTCCCACCATACACAATCCTTGCGCCGCCACTGTTGGTTAAATATAAAAGTGTTGTTTGTTTCTTTTTAACCGTGTAGTCGTTCCATTTTAGCTCTACTAGTCGTAGATCAGAGGAGCCTATGAGAGGGATGGTGCCCGTCATCTGTGTTTCGTCGTCATTTCACTTCAGAAGTTTTTTGTAACTACTCCTAAACTGTCTGAAGGATTGCCTTTTCACACGCAATCATCTCAAGGCCTAACTGACTCTAAATAAAAATGGTGCTGTTCCGACAACCAATATGGCTACCACATTGTCCATCTTGAAAATCTTGGTCCAGTATCGGTACTTCTCAGTTGATGGTCTTGTCAGCATGGGATTTCCTTAGCTATCAAGTTGGCCCTAAAGTGTCGCTCTGCAATATTATGAACTTCAGAAAGTGACACGCAAGGTGAAGTTATTTTGCAACATGCATAATGGAGATATTTTTTGTTGGCGTACCTTTGTTACTTAGGCTGAAATTTCTTTGGATATTGTACTTGTGGAACTTGTACAGGATCAAAGCACACAGCTTACCAAATTTGCTAATCCTGTGTGCTCGAAAAGTCAGCCTTAATTAGTCTGAAGTTCACTCTCTTTAGCAGTTTTTAAAATAGGGACAAGGAATTTTGCCAGACTAAAACAATACCAGATTCTGAAAGTGAAATAAATGAATTACATAATATATCAAATGTATAAAAGCTATCAGTTCTTTTTTTTAACAATATACCTCTGAAATCCAGTTGGTGCAAATGACCAGAAGAAGCATATTTGTAATAGGTGCCTATCTGAAGTAAGGCCAAGCAGTATACTACATAATCCAAATAACCAATCATAACCAACATAAAGAGAATTATAAGTTCTTTTAACAATATCTAAGATATATATGGTCTATTTAATAGCTTGTGAGGAAACTGGAATTCATTTCCTTTATAAATCTAACAATATGCAATAAAAGAACCTGTAGAACGGCATCTTAAATATGAAAATTTGTGCAATTATTTTCTAATATTCATATCATGTGTGCTGTTCTCAACAAAATTATACATTACTATTGATATTAAGCACAAAATTTAATTA